GGACGGGGACCCCACTGCTTGGGGGCCTCCTGTGCCTGTGGAAGCCAGGCCAGGCGACACCTGGCCCCCCAGCCCAGCAGGGCGTCAGTCCTCACACAGCAGGTCTGTGAAGAGCATGTGTGGCTCCAGGCCTGCCCGGGGAAGGCCACGTGCACAGCCAGGGGTCACCTCAGGCACTGCAGGGGTGCCAGGCACAGCTTCCAGGAGGCCAGGCTCAACTGGTTGTCAGAGTTAAGGCTCAGGACCACCCGGAATTGGAATTCATCCTGCATTGAATGCCCTTGAGCTCCAGGGGTGTGTCTTTCTCTGCCTCCTTTAGTATTTGGTGACTAAGGCTGTCCCTACCCCAAGCCGGCCACACAGCTCTAGAATCCACAGAGAACAGCCTAAGAAACATCATCACTAGCTTCTCTTGCCCACTCCTGCCCACTCCTGCCCACTCCTACCCTGGGGCCATGGGCTGGGGGGAGATATGCTCAGCTCCCTCCACTGGTGGGGGGGGGGTGACAGGACGGTGCCTCCCATTCCCAGGCACACCTGTTCGAGGCCTGCCTCCCCTGCCTCTCAGCTATGTGGCCTGGGGCATGCCATGTACAGCTAGAGCCTTTGTTTCCGTATCTGCTAAATAGGGATAATAGTACTGACTTCAGGGGTGGCCTGAGATTTAAATGAGACAATATGCAGAGTACAGGCGAAGTGACCAATCAGGCTAACGTCTTCCTTTTCCTTTTGGCCCCACCATCAAGACACACATGCATACACATGTCTATGTGCACACACACACACACACACACACACGTGCACATATACACATCATCCTTGGAAAGAAAATACTTGTTCAAGGGGCCAAGGCCCATCTCCACCTGCCCTGGCTGGGCAGGGACCAGGAGGGGGCGCTGCTGAGGAGGTGGCAAACCTTAGGAGCCATGAGCCGAGTGACGGGTTCGGGCCACGGTTAAACGTGTCAGCCTGGAGCCAGCCTGCCTGGGGTTTGAATCCTGGCCCTGTTGCTTGCCAGCTGGGTGACCCTTGGTAAGCTACTTCACCTCTCTGGGCCTTGATCTCTGTAAAATCACATCGCAGTCGATCTCCCGTGTAAGACTACATAATGAAGTCTGGATGATGGGTCTTGCCTTTGGCAGGCATTTCCTGAGCACCTGCTCTGGGAGCTGGGGATGCGGCATGAAGAGAACAGGTACAAGGTCCGAGTCTCCCGGAACTGACATCCCCGTGAGAGGGAGCGACCGTAACTGCAGTGAGGGAACAGAATGTGGAGCAGAGGAGCAGCATGGTCTGATGGATTACTCCTTCTGCGATGTTGAATAGGGACCATCGAGAGCAAGGACAGAAGCAGGGAGGCTGGGCAGGAGGCAGAATCCGTGTGAGGAACGGCGACAGTGCAGTTCCAGGTGGCAGCAGGAAGATGGGGAGATGTAGTCAGAGTCTGGAAACACTCCAAAGGCAGTGCCCGCCTGATGTGCTACGTGGATGGAGGGGTGTGACGGGAAGAGATGACTCTAGAATAACGCTGGGGTTTGGGGCCGACAAGGCAGTAGTGCATGTCAGTGTTCACAGGAGGAGGAAGGACAAGAGCTGCCCTCCTGGAGTGGCCGCATGAAGACATGACACCGCTTTGGCCACTCTGTGTCGGGCTCACCTAAAGTGTCTAGAGGGAACATCCTTTCTGTGCGGGGCTGGTGGTCTAGAAGTTTGGGGAAGGACCCTTCTCTCGCCCAGAGAAGCCAGTGAGCGGCTGGGGATCAGAGCCCAGGGGCTCAGGCCTCTGCTCCACCTCCCCCATCAAGGCTGGGTTGCCGCAGCCTTGTCTTTCCAGCAAGATGGAAAAGGGACACAGTCGCCCCACTCCAGGCCCTGTGAACGCTTGAGGGCCCCTGCGGCAGCACACTTGAAAGAGGCAGGGGGTTATCTGCAAAATTCCAATTAAATCCACAGGCTTTGATAATTTGATAAGCCACTCTACAGTCGCCCCTGAGTCAAAATACACTGTTACTTGATCCTGTGTTTATGTTTCAGGACGGAGGGGGAGGTGGACTGCGGTCTGGGAAGGTGCAGGCAGCTCTCAGAGAGGGGGGTGCAGACACTTGGCTGATAAATTGTCAGTCTGTCAGGCCAGGGTCACCTATAGGTCTGGGCTCTTATGGCGAGCACAGAGTGGACTGGAACATGAGTCTCTTGGCAGGTCCTGGAGGCCGAGCGGGACTGGGGAGGAGAAGCCCTTCAGAACTGTCTGTCCACAGCTGACCCTACTTCCTGAGCCTCAGGTCTGTCTCACATGGGACGGCTTCCAGGCCATCTCTTGCCAGACCGGCTGTGAACCAGCCCAGGTGACTAGCACCACCTGGAGAAAGAGGCCGATAACCCACTGCCATAGTGACTTGGAGGCAAATGCTTTATGACCCCTTCCTGCAAAAGCCAGGCTGTGATCTGTAGGGTGGAGTGTGCACTGAACCACATTCCATTCTGTTCTACAACCTTCCATGGATAAAACTGTTGAATACTTCCTACGAGCCAATAGCACTGACCAGGTTATCTTCCTACACTTGGTATCCCTCTAAGCCCTCTTCACCGTCCCATGAGTTCTACGTCGTGCTTTGGAGATGGGAAAACAGAAATACAGAGAGGTCGAGCAAATGGCCGGAGATCATAGAACCCTGAGTAGCAGGCTCTGACCCCAGAGCCTGGCTCTGCAAAGCCGTGCCCACTGCCCCCCCAATGCACAACTGTCTCCCCAAGCCCAGTTTCCTTGAGGGCTCTCTGGAGATGGGCACTATTGCCATGGAGAGGTGAAACAGGACCAATTTATTTAGCTGACTGGCAGAGAATGGGCTTAGGAGTACGAACGAAAGGCAGGCTCAGCGATTTTGTGGTGATGCAACTGCTACTTCACCCACCAGCAACGATCCCTCTGCCCTCCTGTGGGCACACAATCACATGTGTCTCCAATGACAACCACCTAGGGAGGGGCATCTCTTCTCTCCCCATGGAAGGACAGAGAACAGAAAAGGAAGGAGAGACTCTGTGAGACCATCACAGCAGGGGAGCAGCAGGGCCAGATAGACCAGGGACACTGCTGGCGCCTCAGGAGACTTCCTGTCCTGGGAGAGTGAGGAGGGCTGGGGCAGGAGCACAGAGAGGGGAGGACAGAGAGGAGCACTGAGAGGCGTCAGGACCATGGTCCCCCTGACCCCTTCTAAACCAAGGAGGCAGGTGGGAAGGGTGGAAAGAGTACAGGCCTCTGTTTGAACCAGAAAAACCTGGGTTCAAGTTCAGGTTCCTGCTGTGAGTCTCTGTTTCCTTATCTGTAGTGTGGGGGTGAGAATATATAAACCCTTATGAGCCTGACATATAGTAGGTATGGTGAGAGCAATGCTTCTCCCTCTGGTGAGAACACACATTTCTGTCTCATTTTGTCATTTACAAAGCTCTTGCCCAGCCCTCATGTCATCTGAGTTTTACTGATGAGAAAAATGGGGCTCGGGGAAGCCATATGAGTGAGCTGCCTTGCAGTTGTGTGGCTAGGAAGCAGCAGAGTTGGGGTGTGAACTCAACACTGTACATCCTATTCCCTGTGGCTTTCAACCAGTCTACCCTGTGAACAAGTCACCGATGAGTTTCTGATGGATTGTACCATTTGCTTGTTTCTTAAGCCCACGGCAGCCATCAGGAAGGTGGGTTTTGTTGGGCCAAGCCTCTGGGCTGGTGGCTTTTTTGCCCCCAAAAGGGCCTAGGCCATTTTAGGCTCTTGGTCTTATAGTATGACTGAAAAGAGAAGGGCCCCTTTAGGCAAGACTGCCATGTGTGGGTGTGCAGGCTGTGCGCTTTACAACCTCCATAGGTGCCACTCACAGAAAATGCAGTAAGTAGTGCCCCTGGAGCCATGTGACACACACCCTTGTCTTCAGGCTTCCCCTCCCCATCACCAGATGGCCTCCTGCCTCTTCCCACCTGTCCCAGATCATTCCTCCATACCTTTCTTTCCTTTCCCTCTGTTGTACCCACCCCATCTGACTCTCTGCCACTCATCCTGGTACTTTAAGATTTTAGGGGAAAAAAGCTATTGAACGAAGGGATCTCTCAGCACCCCCTTTGGTCCTCTCCCCACCCTCTCCTCTGGCCAATATTTTCCCTGCTTGCCCTCTTCTGCTCATCTGCTCCTGGGCGGAAACCAGATTTCTCTCTCTACTGAGAACCTACTCTGGTGAGGATCTGTTCTGAGCAAGAGAGCGTGGCCGTCACAATGGAGTCTGGTCATGTATGTGAGAAGCTAGCATGACTGGGTGGGTCATCTTAAACACCAGACCCAGAGCAACCTGATTCCAGAGAGAAGAGAGGGAGATCTGCTTGGTTCCCCATTCCTCTCTAAATATGGAAATACCAGCCAGCACTGGGCCACTAGGAATCCAAGAGTTGGGTTCAAGCCTCCTGCCTGTCACATCCGCAACCAGCTGTGTGACTTTGGGAAAATCACCTAACCTCACTGGGCCTCAGTTTCCTTCTCTGTAAATGTGACTACTAATGGCTATCACAAACTAGCCCAAGAGTTATTCAGCGGGTGAATTTTCAGCCTGGGCAGCACATGCCTCCCCCTGCCCCCTCTGAAGGCCTACATTTCATTTGGGAGCTTGGGAGCATCAATAATTAAGAGCAATGACTGCTAACCCTGGGCATCTGAACAGAGGGTCCATTATATTTTCTTTGATCTCATCTGCTCCTTAACCTGTGAGCTAGAGTTTGCAGGAAAACCTGCTCCCCAAATGCAGAGACAGCCCCACTTGTCAGCTCTGGGGTAAAGGGAAATGAGGAGCAAGCTTGGGCAACAGGGAACAATGGTCTTCATACCTTTGGCCCATCTTTCCCCGGCCTGGTTGGCCTTGCCAGCTCCCCCTTTCCTGTGTGCCCACATCCTGAGCCTCTCCAGCCTGCCCTCAGCTTTAGCCCACACCTCAAAGTACACAGGAGATGACTGAGCTACCACTTACTCTTTTGGGGGGTTGACATCCTCTGGTCGGGCCTCAAAGAACCGAAAGACTTCATCACACTGTGAAATGTGGGGAGGCAGTCGGACAAGTGCCTGTGGAAAGATAGGAAGAAAGGGCATTAGGCCTGATGAAAGTCAAAAGCAGGGTCAATTCAGTCTGACGGTGACGGCACAGGCTCCAGGCCTGTGCCGTGGAAGACACCGTCATGCAGCCAGCCACCCAACCAGACGACTCATCAGCGACTGAACTAATCAGCTAACATGAAACAACTCTTCATCCATCCCATCAACTAGCCAACCAGCCAGTTAATCCACTAACCAACTAGTCAATAAAAATAATCAGCCAACCCCAATTAATTTATCAACCATCCAGTCAACAATTCGACCAACCAACCATTCAACTAGCCAGTTCACCAACTAAACAACCAGCCAACCAAGCAAATCACAATGAGCATTGAGCCCTAGGTCTCGGAGCCCTCGGAAGCCAGTCATTCGGCACGAACCCTGGAAGGATTCCCTCCTGCCCAGAGAGTCAGTCCAAGATCCTTAGCCTGACAACCCAAGGGCTTATTCTACCAGCCTCATCTCCCACCAGTCACATTCTGGACACAGCTGCTAGTCACAGCCCCTAAATACTGACTGCACAATTAATTATTTCATGACAAGCGGATAATTCTACCAAGCACAACAGGGTGCTATGACAGAATCTGATAGGACCCAGGAAGATTAGCAGAGAGGAGGGGGGGTGGTTTCAGGAAAGACTCTGAAGCTGAGTTCTGAAGGATGGGTAAGAATTAACTGGTCAAGTGAGGGTGGTGAGACCAAGCATAATGGCTCCGTGGGGCCTGAGCGCACTAAACGAGGGGAGAGGGACCACCAGTCTGGTCCAGCAGGGCTTTGTTTAGGATGCCTGGCAGAGTGGTATGAGCTGAAGGGGTTGGAAAGGCTTCTTAGAAGAGTGGCCATGAGCTAACAAAGAGGTATGTGCAGTATTTGGACAGGCAGAGAGGAGAAGGCAGCCACCGTACAGGGGTAAGTGTCCAGGTAGGGGCATGCACCAGCTGTGAGCCTGTCACCCCAACAGGGCTGAGAGTCTGCTGCTGGAAAGTGAGGAGTCACAGTCAGAGGTGTTCAGAGTTCCTGTTGCACACCAGACCAGCACATACTGCGTACCTTGCAGCCTGGGGCACCCGGGACCCCTGACCTGCCCCAGTCCAACGTGGAGGCCGCGGGGGAGCATGAGACAGGTGAAGCCCTGCTCCTGGCTACTCGATTCAGTATGTAGAGAAGACACTGGAAAGATTCTTTAGCACAAACAGATGGGAGAGGTTGCTCCCAAGGCAGGGCTGAGGGACAGGGCCAAGGGAACTCTGGGATAGAGCCAGGAGAAGGGAGAAGAAAACTTGGGATGGTGTTATTGCAAAGCATTCAAGTGTGGCATCGAGCAGTAGGCATCCCAGCATGACGGCCCTTTTTGATATCATATCCACACCTGGGCAAGATGAGACAAGACCTGACTGTAACACTCTGCAACTCACAGCTGTTCTTTCTAGAGGCCAGGGCTTTCCAAGGGTCTCTAACAGATCACACGCCCATGAGAAGCCAGGAAATAGGAAAGAAGGGAAATTAACATGTAATGGGCAACTGCGATGCTTCAGGCACCGTCCTAAGTCCCTTGACTCCAATTATCCAACAAACAGAGAGGGCCTTTCAGTGCGTGCCTGACATGGGGCTGTGTCCGGTGTCACAGGGATGAGCCAGACACAGCTTCTGCCCTTGCAAGAGCATGTCTGACGAGGTGTCACTCCATTTTGTTCCGGAGGTGGATATCACTGCCTTTGTTTATGACGGGCACACTGAGACTATTCTGCTAAAGTGCAGAATGAAGCCCTGTGCTCAGGAGGTAGAATCAGTGCAAGTTGCCCCAAAGTGTTCAGGTTTTCATTTCAAATACGTGGCATGTGCTGTTTTCTCCCCCAGGAAGGGTAGAGGGAAAGGGAAAAGATAAACTGAGGAAGGCGAGAGAAAGAAAAAGAGAGACAGAGACAGAGAGATGCAGGGAGAGAGACAGAGACAGATGGAGAGACAGACATACAGAGACATAGGGAGACTGATACGGAGAGACAGAGACAGAAAGAGACGGGGCGGGGGGATCAGGCCTGTGCACAGCAAGGGCTCCTGGCAGGAGAACTTAAGGGCTGGGCTGGGCAGGGGGGAAATCATTACCAGGGACCCAGGCTGTGTGCACGCTCGCTGCCAGGGTGACCTCCCTGAAAGGAAGAGGGAAGGGAGCCAGGGCTGGCTTCCAGCAGGCCCGGAGCGCCAGCACCCTCCCAGCTCAGCACGCTGCCACCCGCCCTCAGCGCAGCCCCTGGCCAGCCACGGCTCGCGCCGCCCCAGCAGCGAACACAGGGGCTCTTCATGCCGACAGAGACTGGCATTCCGGGGCCAGAGGACGTGTGGGCCGTGAGGGCTTCAGACAAAGAGGCCTTTTGGTCGAACCACCGTGGCATCTTGACTGAACAGAGAGCCCCGAAGGGAGCCGCATGGAGGGCTCATCCTGATTGCAGGCAGACAAGAGGCTCCCAGCTCAGCCCAGCTTCCATCAGCCCTGCCGCCAAGCCCAGATCTGCCAAAATTATCTGGCAAGAGAGCTAGGTGCTGAGCAGTCTGGCCCCCGAGGCCTGGGCTGCCAATCACTGCCAGAGCCGGGAAACCCCCAAATCCAGCCATTCTGAGAGGAGCAGGTGGGGGCCATACATGGGTATTTTCAAGGGCACCACCCAGGCCATTGAAATGCCAATACCATTGGGCATTCAGGATTTATGCTATGGGTGGTTAAGTCAGGGCCTCAGGGCCACCCAGACATGGGTTTGAGTCCTGGTTCTACCATTCATGGGCTGTGTGGTGCTGAATGCGTTACTGGCCTCTCTGAGCTCAGTACAATGGGTATGACATGGCACCTATTTGTTAGGAGGCTAGGTGAGATTGTAACTAGGAGGAGCCTAGCACAGTGCCTGGCACTGAGTAAACACTCCGTAAATTTTAGTTGTACTGTTGTCTTTGCTGCTATGTTCTCTAGATGAATGGAGTGATGCATACTAGAAACAACACTGGGATGGGAGTCGGAGACCTCAATTCTAATTCCAATCCTGCCCTTATATACTTGCCCATGACCTTGGGCAGCTCACCTCACCTCTCTGGTTGTCATTTCTTCTAGGATAAAGCAGACTAACTCTGGAATCTCAAACTATCTCAAGGAAAACCTGTTGGGTGAGGTAGAGTGATTCTGTGGGTACAAGTGAAATCGTGCCTTGTAGATGGCCCACCTTGGTCTTAGAGATCACCATGTTCATTAGTATAGCAAAGGCTCTGAGAAGTCCTGCAGGGAAGAAACCTGTAGAGCTTTGTTCAGATCAGCATTTACTGATAATCATGGCATGCTGAAGGATTGGCTCATGTAATCATCACATTAACTCTAAGAGATGGGTATGACTATGATTTCAATTTTAAGGAGAAGCAACTAAAGCACAGAGGTTAAGTGATTTCTCAAGGCTGCACAGCCAGTAAGTAGCAGAATTTTCAATTGGGCCGTCTGAGTCCAGAGCCTGTGCTCCGTCTGGATCTAGTACTGCCTCCAGCACTACCCACAGGTCTCTGACCGTGGAGCAGGTCCTCCAACGATTCCTACTGACAGCCCATCAAACACAGCTGGGACAAATCCAGGCTACAGACATTCTGAAGTTTCTTCCATCTCTAACGGTCCGTGGCTCCAGCACTACAAACAGCACCATTATTAGTGAATTCGGTGTCTGACCTATCATTCTATGCTATCGTTCTATGTGACTGAGCCTTTCTTTTTTTTTTTTAATTTTTTGTAAATTTTTAAAAAGTTTTTTAATGTATATTTTTGAGAGAGAGAGACAGAGAGAGAGAGAGAGAGGGCAAGCAAGTGGAAGAGGGGCAGAGAGAGAGAGAGAGAGAGAGAGAGAGAGAGAGAGACAGAATCTGAAGCAGGTCTAGGCTCCAAGCTGTCAGCACAGAGCCTGATGAGGGGCTCAAACCCATGAACTGTGAGATCATGACCTGAGCTGAGGTCAGATGCTTAACTGACTGAGCCACCCAGGTGCCCCTAAAGTTTTTTTTTAATGTTTATTTATTTATTTTGTGTGTGTGTGTGTGAGAGACAGAGACAGAGAGACAGAGACAGAGAAAGAGCGCACGCATGAGCGGGAGTAGGGACAGAGAGAGAGGGAAACAGAATTTGAGGTAGGCTCCAGGCTCTGAGCCGTCAGCACAGAGCCTGACACGGGGCTCGAACTCACAAACTGCGAGATTGTGACCTGAGCCGGAGTTGGACGCTTAACTGACTGAGCCACCCAGGTGCCCCCTGACTGCGCCTTTCTAATAGGACCCTGATTCAGGTTCGGTGGGAAGAGCTGGAATGAGTATGACCTCACAGCCCTCGGCACCCAGGGAGGGGGCAGTGCCCTGTGGGGCTGCTTAGAGTGTGCAGGCCCCTGTCCAATGTCGGTGGAGCTGAAATCAGTCCCTTTTTGACCTTGCCATCCTGTGGTCCAGGGGGTCCGTGAACTAGCTGAGAGCAGATATGGAGAAACAAGGCAACAGAAGGAGTCAAGGGCAGGGGGTGCCTAGGAATGGGGGAGACCAGTGAAGACGTGCTGAAGAGCCACCCAGGTGTGCCACCAGCCCGTCCCTCCAGTGCCTCCCTTCCCCAGTCCTAAACTGCCCTGAGGTCTCCAGCTCCTGGCCTGTCCCGACCATTTTCTGGGAGCCAGTGACCTGGGCCACCATTTGGTACCATGTCATCATTCTAGAAGACACGGATTCAGATAAGGGAGAGGGTGGCTGCACTGCATGCCTCTGAGACCTCCACCCAGATGCTGCGGCCACAAGCCTGGTTTTTCAAGTGCAGTGGCATGGGAGGGGGCCCCAGGCAGACTGAGCTCAGACCCGCTTTGAAATGACCCAATGACTCCCTTCCATGAAGCTTGCCACTCTGGGTAATGTCTGCCCAAGGACGAAAAACAAACTTCTGCATTTGGCAAAACAACTGTGGATGCCCTGCTATT